CTGTCATCATTCAGTATAACACTTTTTGACAAGGAAATAACACCTGTGCCTGTCGTTAAGGACTTGGGTGTTCTTCTCGACACACGCCTCAGTTATAACCAACATATCACTGAGATTGCCTCTAAATGCCTTTTTAAATTGTACCAAATTAACAGAATCAAGCACCTCCTGGATAGGAAAACACTTCTGTTAGTAATAAATTCATTTGTCTTTAGTAAACTCCAATATTGTTCAACTGTCTGGAGTAATACCAGCAGCAGCAATATTGACAAGTTACAAAAAGTCCAAAACTTTGCTGGGCGAATTATTCTGGGACTAAGAAAGTATGACCATATTTCGGATGGGTTGCGATCGTTGAAATGGCTTCCTATTAGAGAGAAACTCATTCTAAATGACGCTACTATGATGCACAAATGTATTAACAAGCTTGTTCCAGACTATCTTGCTGATATGTTTAAATCACGTTCTCAAGTCCATAATAGACAAACTCGATCATCTGGTGCTTTGGATATACCTTTATGTCGCCTGTCAACAGGGCAGCGCTCCTTTGCTTTCAGAGGAGCCAAACTCTGGAACTCCTTGAATGATAACATTAAGCCCTTAAAATGCCTCAGGAATTTTAGACGTCATCTTGCAAATGTTTTATTAAGTTGATATATTATATTATTGATATATATTTTGTAATTATAATATTATTGTATTTACATTCTCAATTAATTTATATATTTGTATTTTTTATTCTATTGAGCTAAAAAACCCACTTAGGGAGCATCAATAAAGTGTATGTATGTATGTAATTATACCATTTTAAAGATGTCCGAAAATCCTAGGAGAGACAGGCAAGCAAGAAATTTTACAGCAAATGTTCCGAAAATTCTAGATCCCAAATCTTCTTCCGAACAGATATTTTCCGAAAACTGACGTTGGGTGCCCCTGAAGATAACCTACAAAACACACGCGCAAATGAAGTCCAGGTACAGCTAAACCACCATGCTGAAAATTAACTCACAAGGTTTCTGTGCTAATTAACTCCTTTTATCCCAATATCCACATACAAATTCTCCAGACTGATCTCCATACATTTTCTTAAAGAATTAGTTGAGAGAATTTGTTTTAAGATCAGAGAGTTTCTTTTAGGTGATCATTATAACCTTTACTTTTAGTTATGTATTGATATTATTGAAGAAAATTGACCTTGATCACTCCTGGGACTTCAATTAATAGTATTTAACTCTGTTTATTGACATGATTGGTCAATTGAGATGTGATGTCATGGACGTAAAGTTTAGCGGTGTCTTTATAAGATATCACGACACTTATTAAACATAAAATTTCTTTTGTTTTTTCTTTATGAATTATTAAAGAGTCTTTGAAGATACGTTAGAAGGGATAGAGTATAAAAGTAGGGAAAATCTGTAATCAAACGGAAAGAGGAAAAAGACTAAGAGAAAGAAAGAAAAGTAGAAAGAAAAACAGAGAACAAAACAGCAAGAAACTGAGAATGACAAAGGGAGAAACTGAGGAAGAAAAGAGAGAAGGAACAGGATGAAAATGTAAGGTGGAAAACGTGTAAGAAACTCAGTCAAGAATTACAATTGTAAGTGTTACTTTAAAAATAAATTGTTCTGTCCTTCTGAAAGTCTCTCAACTACGTCAAACTGTCGGACTTACGTTCCATTTTACTTATGACTGGTGCAGAACTCGCGGCTCCATACTATTAGGCTCCTCGCAGAGCAGTTCGGGAACGATCCTCAAATTAGGCTTGCAAATAAACCACTTTAGCAACACATAGGTTGCATTCATTAACAACATTCGCGAATAGCTGTCACTTCTGCAGTTGTTTTTTACGCCTTAAAAAAGTCTATGCTGCAAATGAATGCATCTTATAGTGGTTTATTAGTAAGCCTTATTCATTCTTGGCTTATTCCTTTTTTTCGTTTTTCCTTTTGGCATTTTACTAAGACAACGTTATTACAATCAGGTATAGCATCACCAGTTTTTGCTATATATACGTACTTGCCGAGGGTGAATAAAGATCACTTATTTCTTATATTTCACATCTGTTCAATGTATCTCTTAAGACCTGTCCATCGCCGTCTTCATAACTATCAACATCTGAAGAGAAAACATACTTTGCATTAATAAACCTGTTCAACAGTACATCAACACAGAAAGAAGTTCTCATTCCTTACCGATTACGTCATCAGCTTCCAAAGTACCTCTGAAATTAGAGAAGTAAAAAATGAGAGATGATATTTTGAAAAAGTTATGGCATGAATACCTGGGAATTAAAGCAAACGACTTTGCAAACGACGTAAAACAGGATGCACAACTTACTTAATACAGCCTGTTTTCCCTGTCCATCCCCCGCCATTTTTTTTGATAAGCAGTAGATCCTCAATTTCTCTTAAAAATTTATGCAAAATTTTTGGGGTGGATAAGACGCAATATGGAAGATGTGCATATGGAGTATGAACATAATTTAACGGCCTTCGCTCCTACGAATCTCTCATAGCTCGGTGGTAGAGGATCTGGACCAGTAACCAAGTTATATGTTCGACTCCTGTGGCATATATACACAACTCGGACATTTTCCAGTAGTCGCCAGTGTCACTGATTGAAAAACGCATCATTCTTATGATAACATTAAGATAGCTTTGCTTTGTTGGCTCTAAAAAGTTTTAGGCATCACACGCAGTAAAGATCTTTGAAATGCTGTACTTGTCTTGCGTAAAAATATAAAAGTTAAACCCGCGGTGAAATATTATTTTGCTTAACGAGGTGATGTGTTAACAAAATGCAGCCAGCTGATTAGATAGCAAAATTGATACACGGTCGTCCGAGTTTGTTAAACTACTCGTATGATTAATGCTGAATCCGGGGCTAGTGATAGCCAATCAGATAATAGAATTTCTTATGGTTTTCATTAAGGCAATTATTGAAATATACAGTTGTGGGCCAGAAAAAAATTTCTGTAAAAAACTGAATTAGACGCGCGCGGCGAACAAATTGTAGTGGGGAATTTTGTTAATTACGATCGCAATGACATGGAAAATGTCTCTTGCAAAGATGTCTCCTGAGGAAAAATATCTACATAGTCTGAGGTCGCTCGCTCTCATGCTAATGGTACTGTCTAGAAGGGACTCCACGTGCCGGCATTTTGAAAGTAGAGAAGGAACTAGGCATGACGGTGATCTTCGGGGCAGAGGTGTACACTGTATGGCTTAGACTTGTCATCTTTCAATTCGTAATCTTCCAACAGTGGGCTCCACATCTGGATAATCTGAAGACAACAATAAAAACAGCAGAAACAACAAGGTATAAATTGTGCAAGTTATGATGACTATGAATAACAAATGATAATGGCGAGCGACAAACGCGAGTGACTGGTGAGAACCGCAGGTTACCATGGGAACGGTACATCTCGCCCTTTGTCTCCTTCCCGCCTTCCTTTGCGCGCACATTTTCATCGAGGGAGAGAGACGTCTGGGTACGAGGCAGAGTTATCACTATATAATATTACGGCCAATTTGAAATCCCATGAATCAGTAACGCCTACCCTTCGAAGCCGAAGATTGATGGCGTGGGGTCAGCTAAGTATGCAGTTAGTACCAAGACATCATAGTACCAAGGCTTGCTGATGTAGTAGCAGGATCGTGTAAAATGGAGTCGGAAATGTTTTCAGGGGCGTAACCAGCTTTTGAGTAGCTGTAGGCCTGGCTGACTTTCATTTCCACATATCCTGAAAATTGCACGCATGATTAGTATGCACTGACGTCATCAACACTTTTTTTAGCTTACCCCATCAACGTATAATTTATTACAAGCGGTAGAGTGATCAAAGCGAAAATTTGTATGCCCGGGCCTACAAGTCTATAGGTTAGCTACGCCCCTGGCTTTTACCTGTTATTTAATAAGACTACATTGAGGCGTTAGCCTTTCTCCTGTCGCCTGTTGCCTGTTGCAACTGATTGCAAAGATGGACATAAATTGAAACTTGAAAAAGTTCGCGGCCAACTTTTTCAAGTAATGGTGAAATGTTCTTGTTATCTTCTTCACACGCAAGTTGATACAATGACTCTGATCTATAGCTAGAGGAGCCACTAAAATTACGAACAGCACAGAAATGACCTAAAACAGCAATATCAGAATATCAGTCTCGAAAGTTTGACTGATGGTCGCGGGTCGCAGATGTTTGTTGCGGGTGTGGGTTGGAAGTCGCCAATTTTCCCACCCGCTACGTACAACACGCGACACGCGACCCGCGACCCGCAACCCCCGTCCATTTTTCAAACTGTCCTCTTGACATAGCTTTAAATTTGAAATGTATAATCAGCTGTAGAAAGGTCTAGAAACCAATATAATCATTACAATGATGTAAGTCAGCGGGAGTGTTAAGTTGGCCTTTTTTTCTGTCTTTGTGAGTATTGTAATTTGCATTACAGCCCAGGATTGTAAACAAGCTGTCAATTAGTTTAAAATATTGATACCACACGTTGTGCACATATAAATAATGTTTCTGTAGAAGACGACTGTAGGAGCTCAGATAGCTCAGCTTAGAAGCAAACTTTTGCTGTTCTTATTGTCAAAAAAGCGCAACTATTTTATGTTTCAAATCAAGTTTGGGTGAACTGAACTTTCTTTACCTTAAACAATTTGTGGATTCCAAACATGGGTCGCTGGGGCTGCTCTGAAAAAAAGTAAGGTATGTCAGGTTATTATGCCTTTGAACTATTGAGAACCAAATGCGTGGCGCATGTGAAGGCATTTTAAATGAAAAGGTTTCATTCGAATGGTCACGACCGGCCGATTATTACGTGCACAAGTTAGTAGTCCACAAGTTAGTATATAGACGCACAGATCAAACCTGTGTAAATGGTAAGCTTTGAAGCAGGTACCTAAAAGGCAAACTCTTACAAGAAATCAAGAAACGTGGTATACAGCAACTCATCTAAGCGAGATTCGCTTTAAACTGGCTTCCATCTGATTACTTCGATTCAAATTTACAGATATTCAAGTGCAGGTTCTGTGGAACTAAGTACTGTGAAGCATGCGGCAGAGGAGATTTTCATGGTGTAATGACGGATAAAACAGTTTGTCAAGTTTGTTTTCAGGTATTATGGAATTGAACTGGCCTTTTTAGCGTCAAGGAGATCACGTTTATGGATGCAGTACTGAGTATATTTCAATGGGGCTCACTAAACAAAAACACAAAGGACAAATTCTCCTTTCTACCATGGCAAAACTTTAACCCTTTAAGCCCTAAGAGTGATCAGCATCAAATTTCTCCTTGCAATATCACTACTTTGTAAAACAGAGTGTTCATAAAAACTTACGGAAATGATCACACGAGATGAATCAGTGGCTTTATATTTTATCAACTTCTCCCCCTACTTCTGTAGGAAATCAACAGGGGCAACCAATGAGAATTCAAATTTTGATCCTAAGGTTTAAGGGGTTAAAAAATTGGTTTGGTCAAGAGAGGATAAGGACACCCAAATTTCTGAAAGCTGCGCCCTTTGTGAAACTTGAAAGGTATTACACCCGGACAGTTTGCGGAAGAGAACAAAGAAAAGTGTTTGCTTAATTCACTAAATGACAGGCTCGTTTCAATTCATTAGGGACGGACCATTAGAAAAGTTATGGGGGGGGGAGGGGAATTTTCGAGCTGCAGGAATTTTTTTTCGTTATCAAATTCCTTGTATGAATTTTTTTCAGGCCCTTGCATGAATATTTCTTTGGGTTTATTGGCGTGCAAGAATTTTTTTTCATTTAATTTTCCCTTGCGTGAATTTTTTTTTTTTTGTATTTCGCCCGCCCCCCATAAGTTTTCTAATGGTCCGTCCCTTAGAAGAGAAATGTCGCAATCCCTTTATCACCTTGTGTAACTAGTCTCCAAATAGATCTTTTGAGTAGAATTACTTCTTATTGTTTTTGTTTAATCCTTTAATTAGCCCAAGATCATAGTTCGAAAGCTTTTATGTAAATTGGTTTGTTTCGAAGGAAACTGCTGTGCTCCATCAAGAAGATGAACCAGGGGACCTCCCTATAAAATTGACCGGTTTAGGGGTAACAGTCGCCTATTTTGGTCTCTCTTGTGCATGGCTTTCAAGGGGGGAAGCCAAGATTTTTTCCAATGAAAGTCTCATTAATAGTAGTGTCCCACGCAGACCTCCTCGAGGGTTCGTCACAAGTTACTACCCACGTTGGGGAGGACTGCGTGACAAGCCAAAAGAACCACTGAAAGCTAAGGAGGCAGTTAACAAGGGTGTCGAGTAAAGGTGTGCCTTATTACTGACTTTATATTGTGTGTTACTTAATGTCATCATTACGAATTTCAGCCTAAATGTCAAGGAGAAAGAATTGGGCAAGACCCAGGAAAATCAGCCCAGAACAAAAGAACAGTCAACAAGAAAACAGTCAAAGCTGAAACTTCACAAAAGCAATCACAAGACACGAGAAAAAGATAAACATCAACCGGCTCTAGTTAAAAAAATCCGTAGATTGTATAAAACAGGTCTTTTTTCCTATTGCAGAGAAAAATGTGAGCCGAAAACGCCCGAGCTTATCGGAAGCTAGCGAATTGTAATATGGTTTTCAGATTTAAACCCATGTCAATAGCAAGTAACGCTTAGCTTTGTTGGTCAGGCGGGCACACAAGCCAGGATGGGAGAGGGAGTGCGAGGAGCTTGGGGCGGAAGAAACTGGTAACCGTCCTAGCCTGGGGTGTCGAAGAGCCATTGCTCATCTCTTTGCCACATTATGCGCCTGGACGAGTTAAATAGCTTTGAGTTCATGAAATTTTGTCTCCAAGTTAGCCATAGTGCTAATTTGAAAGCTACTAAATCATAACATAGAAAGTTCTGGGCACAATGCACGCTCAGCACTTATTTATCGCGGGGACGTCCGGGAACGATCAATCTACGACCATTGATTTATATCGGAAGATACACCTGTTCATCCAAAAATGAAAACTGATTACATGCAAGCAGTAAGTTTGCTGACAATTGAGTTGCAATTAATTTTGAGAGTCGACGGATCAAACAATTATCACTTTTTTAAAAAAATCTTATTAAAAAAATCTGAAAAAATCTTATCTTTTTTTAAAAGCAGGTTTAAAATCTTCTTGTGGTGGCTCCCTGGTGTTTAGAAAGTGGGAGCTGCCCGAGATTAGGGGTATTTACATGGGAAAACCAGAAATTTTGGTTGATAAATTACAGGGGCGGATCTAGGGGGAGGGTGCAGGGGGTGCGCACCCCCCCTGAGATGACCTGCAGTTTTCTAATACAACTGGTATTCTGCAAAAAAAAAAAAAACTATGTGGTTTATTGGTGTTGAAGTAGAGCAAGAGACGAGTGCACACCCTCCTAAAAAAAATCCTGGATCCGCCCCTGAATTAAATGATTCTCGCCATTGATCCGTTTGGGAAGCTTCTCAAAATATGGGCTGTGATTAGAGGCAATGCAATTTTTCTGCTCTTTTTAGTCTGTTCAGCTGAATTGGTTGTTCTTTGTAACGCGTCATTCTCCCACCAAGTCAAATTTTATAGTTTTGTGTTTATGCACAATATTTCCACCCGGGTGGTTTGTGAAAATGGTGAGCATCCTTGGTCTCTTCCCTTCTTCCCACTGCGCTCTCTTCATCGCGCTATCTCTTCTATCCAAACACCTGACACAGGCCACTGCCGGTACCCAATTCACGATAAAAAAACATGACATGTTCTTGGGAAGGTTCAAGCATCGCGCGCGTTTCTAGGATCGAGGTGGCGCATATGCTTCTCTGGGTGTATTGAAAAACTGAAATTTTCTCAAGGCCGCACTTCGCGTGCTATGAATTTAAAGAAAGTACACAATACATCAGACAAAAGTCATTGCTCGCACAAAGTGAAATCTTAGAACAATTTATAGTGAAATAGACTTGCGGTGTGTGAAGTGCCACTGATTCGAGCAAAGATTAGCGCGGGAGGCGTAAAAGCAGCTCAGATATTACCGTGCTTCGATCGGTCTAAACGCGCGATCTCCTTACTTTGTGATTCGTGATTCTTAAGGAAAATGATCAAACTTGAAGCTAAGTTCTTAGGAATACCTCCATTCAGAAAGTGACTGAAATAATAGTAAATGTCAAAAAAAATCCATTATATCTGGCTTGTTTCATGCGTTTTAAGATTAAGCCAGTCTCTACGCGCATTCTTATCTAGGCCAAGAAAAAACAATATATTGAGAGGGTTAGCCACTTTTAATCAATTAGAGCTCATTTTCTGTAACAATGGATGTTAGATACGTGATTCTTGCCTTGAAGGAAAATAGCGTCCTTATTTGACTGGAATCACTCTCCTCTTTAACACTGACCCGAACTTATGAATGGCTAATTGACGGATTTACTAGACTTATTTTGACACTTATTTAATGTATAAATTGATAAACTACGCGACACCTTTACTAGATAATTTAAAAAAATTCTCACTAACTAGGTAGAGAGACGTGACCCTTAAACCTAACTACTTTTACTATAACCTTTATTACTTGATGTACCTAAATAGAAGCAGTGGCCTACAAAATACCGTAAAATTTCGAAAATAAGCCCCGGGGCTTATATTTTTCAAAGGCCCTTTTTGAGGGGCTTGTTTTTGGAGGGGTTTATATTCGGAGGGGCTTATCTATGGAGGGAAATTTGCGTTTCAAAATCGATTGAGCTAGCTTTATAGTTGGAAGGAAATATACCGTTTTTGCTTTGTTTTACCTTGTATTTAAGGGCAATTTCCAAGTACAAGCCCCCCCGGGGGCTTATATTTGGAGGGGCGATTTAACAGAGGGCTTTTTTGCGTTACGAGTTTGGGGGGCTTATATGTGGAGGGGCTTATACATGGAGGGGCTAATTTTCGGATTTTTACGGTATATATATACTTAGGATGGTAAGAAAAATACGCCAGTAAATTACGTCTAATATAAAAATACTTACATTGTATAATAGGGAATTGGTTTTCCCCCGCGACGGGGCGGGATGGGAGGCTGTTGTATTTACACACACAATACCCTTAAGCATTGATTCCATTAACTAAAATTCCAAAAAAAAGAATTACTTTAACGGCTGAAAATATTCACAGATTGATAAACAGCACCTGAGACAGGAACGATTCTTACCAACAAATTCGATTGGAAATGTGTTTTGACTCATGATGCTCTGTGGGTAGGAACATCTTGAGGTACGGGTGATCTTTTAAGAAAAAATTTTTCTCATGAATGAAACTGACACTGGATTATTTCAGAGACTTCAGGCAAGTGATATCTGAAACAGAAGCTGTTCTGAACACCTAAATACTAATGAAACTGTTAGAAAAAAACTCTGACTCGCCTACTTGCAGACGGTAAGACTAAGTGTTTAAACACGCCGCTAACGCAGTAACAATCTAAAAACCAAGTTTTATTAAGAACACTATAGTAATTTATCTAACTAATTGAAGGGGCTGTATTAATTTTTTGAAACCAAAAATGTTTTGTTATGAATACTTAGTCTATTTATATGGCTATTTGTACCGTTATCATAACATTGACGAATTATAAAACTGTACATATGAATAATAGACATCTTGTTTCTTGCCAGCATCTTTGCGAATAAGTTGCCACAATAAAGGTTCAGCAGTTGTTCAACTTAAGTGTCTTCAATTTGATATCGCGAGTTATCAACTCTTGAATCGCAGTATAATCAGTCATCTTTACCTCCTTTCTGTGGAATAAGGCTAACATAGTGAAGCTCGTGCAGGTGACCCAGCACAAGCCGGTTGCTACCAGTAACATCAAACTCTGGGCAGATCATTACGTCATGGCGATGCGGAAGACTGCTGATCACGTGGATGCACGTTTGAAAACAGTTTGCCGCGCCGTGTAGAATCACGTGATCACCCCATGTACCATTTGCCAACATGCTTGTGAGGTAGGCATCCCAAGATGAATATCCATCAACAAAATGAAACAGTTCTGTCCCATCCGGCTGTAAGAAAAAAAGAAAATAATCTAGTTAATGGAGAAAGAGGTAGAGTGTTTTTGTAGGAGGTATATATTCAGGCAGCTGCGCTGTCAGCTCTCTCTAAGGCGGACCTCGCTGGTATCGACACTAGAGCAGATATGTCCGCCTTAGTAGTTAACCGGAACCAGGCCAAAAGGTTGTTTGCAATGGACAATAAAATAGACTATGATAACATACTAACCAAATAAGAACATCCCTCGTATAACTCATGACGTTATGTTGAAGAGATTCTACCGCATTTTATTCATGAGATAAGATGCCATTGACATTTATTTGCTCCACTTCATACTAATGAGAGTTCACTTCAAAAACGAGGTCTAACGTTTGCATCCCATACTACTCTCCTTACTCTCTTTCTCTCCAAGAAATACAATTAAGAACGGCAGGGACCAACACTTTTAGGAAAGTACTTTAGGAGGTTCTAGGGAGGTGTCCGTTACACGTGTAAGAGAGAGGGGAAGAGGTGTTTACTGTGAAAAAATAAAAGTTTGGAAATTTTGACTTGTAAACCAGTATGTTGGGTCAGAAATGACCCTACAAATATAACAAGTATTGAGGATCTCAAGTTTATCCGTTCATACGATACTTGTCAAGTCTTACCCTCTTCAAATAAAGTATTCACTTCGCTTCACTTCACTAAGTAGACATATGCTGTTCGAACAAAGCGGCTTTTGGTGAACATTTCATACTTAGCAAAATAACGTCCTTATAAAATATTAGGACATGAGTCAGAAGATCGAGGAGACAGAAACAGATTTCCTAAAATCTGTTTTCATTTACGCCTCCGAGTCAAAAACGTGATTAAAGGAAATGAATTTGCTTTATTTTAAACCTTTATGGCGCTTATGTAACGTTTTTCAAATTAAAAAAAGTAGAAGAAATTTCCTGGATTTGAATTCTAAGGACAGCATCCGGATCCAATAACAATTTTTCGTCGCCATGCTTTCGAGGTCCTCCAGAAAACGTCGCATTACGAAGTTTCACGTCGTGCAGCGGAAGACGAAACAAAATACAAATAAGCGTGATGCTCGTGCAGAGCTGATGTTTTTCTCATAAAGGGTGGATTCATTTGCATCATACCCGTAAAGCCGTAGCATTTGGCTGCAAGAATTTAAGGCCCCGTCCAAAAGTATCAGGGTATTTTTAGCCTTCCGTCCACACGAAAACGGCCTTTTCGGGCACCAAAAAAACAGGTCCCCAGAAAGCGGTCCCCAGAGTGGACTTTTGAAAACGCCGAATTCTCGTTTACGTGTTTTCTAATACAATGATGTCATACATTATATGCTAGTATCAATGAGTTTGCTCTGTAAGGGATGTCATCGTATGTCAATCATTTCAGCGTATTTATGTGAACAGGCGCAAAAAATTCAAATACGCTACGTGTGGACACGTATTTCGGATACGTTAGAACAAGACCTTATTGCTTTTAAGCTTAAAAACAATAAAAAGATTTGAGCGGCAAAATGCGACGGCTTTCGCATATATTGCAAATAAATCCACCGTAGAAAAAACAATAACCAAAGGTACTTACCAGACTGGGGTTTTCCCGAAGATGTTGAACAATAGTTCGGCGTAACTCATCATGGGACATTTGAATTCCTTTGATGCGTTCAAGCTGCTCCGAAAGTGCAAAAAACATGCAGTTTCCCTGTCCTTGATTGTCAGATATCGCAAAACCTTTCTCCAACGCAGTCCTCTTTAAAGCCTGCGACAGCTCAGTTTTGCTGGACTCTGTGCGTGCTTCCAGGAGGATTTGTTGAAGTGCAAGGAAAATTGCTTCGCCTGTAAACGGCAGAGGGAAACGTCAGTTTAATAGGACATGATGAACTGGTCTTTAGGTAAAAACAGCCGAAAATATAAATTTGTCCTGGTTTCAAGAGAACAAAATAACCCCACTCTACTGCAAAAATAAATTTTGGCTCTGGTTTATTTGAGAAATCAAAGAACCACATCACCAGTTATCGATCCTTTTGCCGCATCGTTTTCAAAGTCATTCTGTGGAACGGTATCTGCTTGGGTCTTTTCAACACCTGTAAAATTTAAGAAAAAAAAAAACATTGAATTACAGAAAAAAAATAAACCATTGCAATCTGAGAAGCCCTCCATTCATTTTGTGTGATATATCATAAGCCAAAGTTTTAGCTGGACGGTTGTCATTCTTTTTCTTTAAAAGAGAAAACAAGCAACCCGTGAAAAAATCTTGATTGTTAAACAAATTCTCCTTATCAGTAACACAAGATATGTATGGATAACAGTGTGGAGAATATGAATGCTGTTATTGAGGTTTAAAAGGTTAACGTTGGCAATCTTTCTGCAGCTGTTCACATGCACCGCCAAACATAATACTATTAAATTTGCTTACGCACTTGCTCTTGCTGAACCAAATAAAATACAGGGATGAATCATAAAGGCAAAACAAAGGCTAATCCTGATATGAGATACGCAACTGACATTTTCACCGTGTTTGAAGTAATAATTAGCAATTATTGAATTCGGCTTTCGCAGGATATGAAGAATTCTGTAGATCGAGGAGGGTGTTATCCACTGAGGACGAAGGCCGAGGTGGATAACACCCTCCGAAAATAATTCCAAGTCTAAAAACAAGCTGAAACTTCCTTCCCTCGGTAGATGTTAAGTTTATATCGATAGTGCATCTTTATCGAGAAATTGAGGAGATAAAAGTCTGTTTTGCTCTGTAAATATACTCCAAATAGCGGATGTTGTCCGTCGAGTTGTCTTCTTTCTCTTCTTGCTATGATTTTGACAATGTTTCGCCAACTGTGTCAGCCATTTTCTCACCACCAAAACAACTCAACCTCGTCCCCAGGTATTCTCGGTTAACGGTTCAGTAATCTGCAACTTTGGCTGCACTTTTGACGTCATTTGTTCAAAATGACAAATTTGGTCAACAGTAGCTGTTTATGATGAATTAAGCATGCACCTTTAGCCAATCAAAAACGAAAAATATTTTGAATGAATAATAGTTACTATCATCATTACTCTCCTTTAGGCTAAGTTAACTTCTTACCATAGACCATCCTCCACATTCTGGCGACAAGGGCCTGGCACTGTCTCTCCCAACAGAATCTTTCATCATAACTTCTTCGCAGTCTTTGGATTTCCTCAAGCCGCCGTGTCCTCGATTTTTGACGGATGGTTGCAATTGCCTTTGCCCATTCCTTGGGGTCATCAGAGTCGATCACAAATGATTCACCCATTGGAAGACCACGCAGTGCTTTTCCAAATCCAGAGTTTCCACTAACTAGAATGGGAAGACCAGCTGACATGGCCTCCAATGCTGTCAAACCAAACCCCTCAGTTCTTGATGGCATGATGGCCAGATCGGCTTCACAAAACAATTCTCTCAATCTTTGTTTGTCTTTCACAAATGATCTCACAATCAGCTGGTTCTTTGAAATGCCACTCTGGAGTAAGATTTCTGCGACTTCATCCTGCCTTCCATCGGGTGCACCAACGAAAACAAGACTATAAGAACTGTCCTGCAATTCCACTATGGATTGAGCGGCAATGTCGTATCCTTTAAGACTAAAGTCTTCAAAATCACCGCGACCGAAGGTTAACACTTTGAAATTTACATTCTCTTGTTCAGAATGCTCAACATCTGAAAACTCTGTAAAGGAACCTGGTACTAATTGAAAGATTTCTCGACGAGATGAACGCAGCTGTGACGAGATCGCGTGTTTCAACTTGGGTCCAACGGCTACAACGAGATCTGCAATTTGACAAAGTTCAACTTCAGCTCTGTTCTTCCCTTCTCCCTTGGCAATGGCGCTTGGATAGTTCTTATGCATTGCTAGCTCTTCAGGCTCAGTGTGAACAACCTGCACCCACTTACAGCAATGAGACTTTCTTATAATCTGCGCTTGTCTACCAAGCTTTGCTCCATGGCCGATCACAACCTGAATGTCAAGGTCTTCTGGGGGAACGATCAACCAGTCAAGAGGATCACTGTAGGCAGGAAGGCGCCCTGCTTCCCGGATGGAAATGTTGTGACTTTTGGCAGCTCTCTTATGCTCTTCGCCACACTCAAATTCAGGTACAAGAATGGTCACTTCTACGTGTGGGTCTTTTTGCCAAATGTATGGCAAGAGTTCTGTTTATTGTTGACAAACCACCCCTAGACGACCCCCATTCGTTCGCCAGGAGAGTAACTTTCAATATTAAACGTTCTGAATGACCTTGTTCAGCATCAGATGATGACGATGATGGTGGTGGTGATGATGGAGTACACACGTCCTGTACAGAAACAAAAATTGCATATTTTAAAATAGAAAGTGTACACCTGGGGTGTTTACCGCTTTGAAAGAAAGTTTGCAAAACATGTTATCATCCAGTTAGAAGCTATAAACTTATCGATTGACTGTAAAGCAAACAGCTTGTTAAGAAAGACTTGAGAAACGGTTATGAATACCCACTGCTACGGCTGCAGTAGGTGTTTAACAACAGAGTTGATGATGTTAATTGGCCACTGTAAAGAGATTCTCAGTTCAAGGGTAGCCATTTGTCTGGCAAAGTGCTAAAAGAATTTGAATAGAATTTTGAGTCATATATGGTAACCAACTGACCTTATCAAATTACTTGATTTTAAGAACTATTGCTTGCTTCTTTTTACCCAGCGAGAGACTTGTGGTAGGTTAAATGAAGGCCTACGTTATACATCATTATAATCTAATAATGACACACACAAACTTTGTTGAAGCTTTTTAAGTATAAATAAATGACTAGCCTTTCAGTAGCATAATATCAATTTAGTAGTAATATGCCGTAAAAGTCCGAAAATACGCCCCCAGGCTTATATTTTTTCAAAGGCCCTTTTTGAGCAGCTTATATACGGAGGGAAATGGGAGGGACATTTGCGTCTCAAAATCGACAGGGCTAGATTAGAGTTGGAAAAAAAATTATGTCAGTAATTTGGACGAAGGTTTGACTGAAACTCGCCATGGGGACCTAGGTCTTTCTAAAACTCTGCCATGCGAGTACTTTGGCTATATGGATCGAAGAAATTCAAGCCAAGAGTGAAGAGCGAACTACGCAAACAGCATTACACTCTGACACTTCTTGATTGCAATCATTTGGCACAAGGAATAGTTCTTTGGCAAATTACAAACATTATGTGTTACTGTACCGTTTTTAATTTGTTTTATTTTGTTTTGAGGGCAATTTCAAAGTACAAGCCCCGGGGGGCTTATATTCGGGTGCGGCGATTTAATGGGGGTGTTTAACTACGAAATTGAGGGATTATATTTGGAGGGGCTTATACATGGAGGGGCGTATTTTCGGAATTTTACGTTAACATTCCATTTATATGTAACATGCTAACAGCACTGATAGAGATGGGATTTCAGTGCTACCTACCTTACTTGGTGTCTGTGAGAACCATTTTTGCTTTCCTGGGACTGTGAGTACTTCATCTGTAGGTTTCTTTTTGCAAATCAGATGAACGCCTTGTCTTACCTCAAGGAGGTGAAGACAATCTTCATGAGAACATGCAATCTGATTATGGCTTGAACACTTTTCCCGCTGACAATACGGACAGGCGACCCGAATATGATACTGCAATCCACCTTTATAGAGATCACGTGACAAAGCTTGCAAAGTTGCCTCCACAAACTCACGAACCTGCACTGCCACCTCACTTGTCTCATCCACAGAGATCTGCTGAGGGTGGTTTCTTTGCTTGATAAAGAACTTAATAAACTGCTTCTTACAAATGAGAACAAAATCATGGACAGTTTTGTTCTCAATAACAAACCACGCTCCATTTTGGTACAGGGTAGGGAGCTGAGTTGGACCAGCTTCAGAACACCAATGGACAGATCTAGAAACAAGCCGAGTGAACAGACCATGGGGAACAGAACCACTGACAAAGTAAATATAGAGGGGACAAGGGTCCAGCCTTGAGGGCGCCATGGAACAAAGGAAATCAGGTGACGCTTTGAGTTGAGATGGAACAAAATACTTTTCACCTGTCTTTGATGATGAAAATTTTGCAATCAAACCAAATTGTTCCATCAAATCCAGAATGTCTTTCCTGGCAACGCCCTCAAGAAGAAATTTGGAAAACACATGATCAAGCAGTTCCATGCTGAGAACACCGCTTTCTTCGACTTCCTTCCAGTGCTTTGCAAACTTAGGGACCTAAGACGGAATAGCAAGAGGAATGTAAAGAAATTATTTTTCGCAAGAAAGGTTTTATTCAGGATATTGCGCAAGTTAATGACATTCCGCATTGCACGGAGCTGCCCATTTTAGGTGATACGTTTCAGGAGAATTGTAAATATAGCGAACACGTACGTGCTAAGTTGATTAAGGCAAATACTGTAAGTGTCTGTTTGTATTAAGATCTTTACGCGATGAAGGTTTCAGTCAAGGTCAAGTAGACCACCTATTTAGCGCCTTAGTTTTACCAATTTCACTTATGGTCTGCCTATTTATGGCGCTGTAGACTCAGATCTCACGGTCGTACAAAACTTTCTGGATAGATGCTTTAAAAGGAAATACACATCTAAGAGAGCGGAAATTCGACAACTTTTTAGAAAAGGCAGATAAGAATCTTTTCGAGGTACGTTCAGTGGATCCCGACTGCCAGCTTAGTAACATCATTCCGAAGAAGAAAGAAACAAAGTATAAACGCAGAAACAAAAGTGCTCATCGCCCGGATATAAAGACTGATAGATTTAAGAATGTTTTTGTAAATAGGCTTATTTTTAGATATAATTTTGATCTTTCTGTTATTTGTATACAGTATGTCTTATGTATTTTTATCTTTCTATTATTTGTATACAGTATGTCTTATGTATTTTTAGACTCCCAACTGCTGATGTAACTTAAGATATGTCTTTTTATCTTAGGAAGAATAAAGATTGATTGATTGATTGATTTGATTGATTGAATGATCACAAAACTATTCAAAATAGCTTTCTTCCAGGATCATTTTACATTTCTAAATGTTATACTAATAAAGTTTAGCAAGTTCTCTAAAAGAAATAAACTACTGAACATTTTAAGTAAACATTCAAGGAAAACTTTCTTCCTTGCAATTTGCGGATTTGTGTGAGGACACATATAAAATAGAAGTTACGAAAGACTGCCTAGGGAGTATAAATGTGAATAAATCTCTCTGGGGGCGAAAAAAGATCATAGCCTTTTAAACAGACCTCAGATTTTAAATCTATAGAATGCTCTTTAAAGCGCCACGTAAATGCCAGAATCCTCCATTTGGTTTACTCGCCGGAAAATTCTTACGGTCCAAATTTCACTTCCACAAACTATAAAAGCGCGTTCTGATTGGTCAACGCAAAGAGTCGCTGGTTTCAGCAGACGTATAAGTATCTTTCCACTCTTTTTTTTGTGAGACGTTCCTTTAAGACCACATTCGAGGATAATTCTACAAGTCACGCAATGTACTTCCAGTGCACTCCTTTAAAGGTAGATTGTGCTGATGACACACACGAAAGATAGCGTGCAATGCATGTGACATAATCATTTTTATTTGTTACGGCACGGTTTGACACCCGTGATGTCATCCAAAATGGGGGCCGTTATAAAACATGGCAAGTTTAAAAACACGTTAAATTGTATTTCTTACCATTTTCGTAAAATCTGGAATAGTGATCAGCTGCCCGAACAAGCTTATCAGCCACTTGGCACTCAAGATGACTGTGCCACGGTGCTGGATAATTATTCTCAGGTCATGATAGAAATTCACCATAGTAGTAAACTCTTCCTCATCATGGATGAAGCACTTCTCCTTGGCATGGGACTGTAGCTCTGTTATACTCAGGTAATAAACTGGCTTGGAAAGCAAAGCGTTGATGACTTTCTCAAAGTTCAGCCACCTAGTTTACAAAACCAAACAGAAAAATGATAGCGCGTGTTTAAGTATCCATGTCACATATACACATTATACCTGTGCTGACTAAAGTACAGGGCCCAGTTGTTCCAAAGGTGGATAACTGTATCCACTTGATAAATATGTGTGTGATCCACTTTACTTCACCTTTTTAAAACGACAATTGAAATGTACACGGTGCTTTTTGGTCAATTCGAAGTAAGATTATAAGAGCGACGGTCGGGAAATATCGACCATCGAGTGGCAAGCGTTGAAAAATTGATTGCCTTCATTTTTTGTCCATAAATAGCTTTTAGGTAGATAAATAATCTGATGTAAGTTGTTCTCGCAAAAAGCCTTTTATTCTCGAGAAAAGTAAGGATATCAGTTTTCGTGGTCGGAGTCTCAAAATGGCCGTATTTTCAACCCGAAATTTGCTAACATCAACTCTCCTCGCGTTCGCAAATAAAACCGCAAGGAGAAATTTGGACACTTTCCATCAATACAACAACTCTTGTTCTTTCACTAGAAGATACTTTCAAAGCAATATCAAGACTCGTTGAACTAACATAATTCAGAAACGAAGAACAGGTTTAATTTTTACCGTGACAAAAACTTTAATTTAGTAGTTGTTTTCTGCGGAATTTTTCTTCATGTGGTATAGCTCCAAATTTTCCTGGTCCTCGTTTATTCACACATTTAGACATTCATCTAAAGCATACCTGAGAACTGGCTTGGGTTCCTTTAGGCAGCGTCCAAACGAAAGCATCAAAGTCCGGTAAAAATAGAGAAGCGTGACCAAAATTACTTATTTAACGGCTCCAAGTTTCCTCGATCGCAAAGTAAGAAGACGAAATATCTTCCTGTTCCGTCATCCTTAGCATATTACCATTCTTAAAGTCCATATTTTTCGATAAAAAGTGAGTACCAGAAAAAGCGCGTTTGACTTTTTCTTCTTCAAAATACTGTCAGGATCGAAAATGTTACTCTTTCAAGAATTGCGTTGCGTTACTACAGTGATTCCGTGACTGTCATTTTAACGGCTTCGTCTCTTCAAACGTACGTTATGTCACGTGCAGTCACGGAACAGATTGTCACGCAGAGTCGCCGTCTGGTAGGGTTCAGCCTTTCAAAATGGCTAAAATTGACCCAGTTTCACCTTTTTACCCCACTCTTTGATTGGAAAAAGAAATTTTGCAATTGGAAAAAAAAAAAGAAGTGCAAATAAACGAGGCTTTAGGCTGTAAATATCTACTTTTGTGCGTTTCGACAATTACCGCCGGCCTACCATGAAAATTCCTGAACTTCGATGGTGTCTTACGGAGATTACATTCAATAACCCAAGCCAATTCCCAGGTATGTTTTAAATGAATGTCTAAATGTGTTATTTAAATAGCATTAAGAGAATTTGGAGTTATACCACATGTTAAATATTGCCGTCGAAAATGAGTAACGAACTTCAGTTTTCGTTATCCTGAAAACCTATCGCTCATTTTTGAATTATTTCAGTTCGACGAGCTTCGCTATTGCCCTAAAAGTATCTTTTAGTGGAATAAAAAGAATTTTTCTGTTCATTGAAAGAGTCCAAATTTGTCCATGCGGCTTCGTTTGCAAACGCGAGGAAAGTTAATGTTAGCGAATTTCAGGTTAAAAATTAGGGCAGTCTGAGACTCCGACATCGAAAACCGATCTTCTAATTTTTCTCACAAATAAAAAGCTTTCGGCAGGAACAATCTACTTTAGGTTTCTTATCTACCTAAAAGCTATCTATAAACAAAAATGAAAGACACTGATTTTTCAACTCTTGCCACGAAATTAAGATTTTGGTCAATTTGGCCGGCGCTCATAAAACCCTTTAGGGCAGAATATTCCTTAAGGCCAGTCAAAACTGCTTTTCATGGTGAGCTTGTTTCAAACAACGAGATATTTATTTCTTATGACGGCCAGGTGGCTCATACAGGAATCACTGAATTTTTTCTGTTCTCGCTGTATTTTTTTAACCAAAGTAAAGGACTACAATGAACCAGCCTTGAGATGTTTTGCTGTAACGCTTTTATATAGCGTCGCAGTCACTGAGTTACTTAGGACACATTGCACATCAGAGAAAAATCTTACAAGGACTGGCGAAAACAAATGCCATACACATAAACAGCAATTTCAGTGCGCTCACAGCTCAAACTGTCACAACAAAATTATCTAATATTTACTCTAATGGATTCTCTTTTTGTATAACCATTTTTTTTACCTTATAGGTATCCTCTCTCCAATGTAAGGCTCCTGTCTTAGCACTTCCATAATTTTCATTTGTAAAGCTTGGATCTCATCAATGTTTTCATCTTTCCCGAAAACCATTGTCTTGATCTTTCTTTGAGTTAATTTTGCAGTGTTGTCAATGCTGAAGATAGGCCGTTCCACATGTCCTTCATAGTCCTTACCAGCAATTGCGTTCTGGATTTCTGTTTTCATTGTTTCAATGTCTTCAAATGGTTTGTCTGCATGGGTTCCTACAATGATCACTGGGGGGCGCAAATGAGGCACCTCTTTTTCTACATCATCACAGGTTTCTCTTCTCATTTGTGCGACGCTATGCACTGTGGACAACCAGGACAACAAGTTCTCAAGATTTGTTTCTCCATTTGGGTTTTTCAAATCAACATTACGAGATCCTTGCCTCACACAGGGCTTGGCTGTGTCATGCAGTGACTTGCTGAGGTTGCACACCAAGATGTACAGCGCACGTGATGATAGGAATACGGGATGGGATGCATAATACAGGTGCTGTCCAGCAAAATCCCACAGTTCAATACTGACAACAGATTCTTCAGGCTTAAAATCTTCATCTTGTATTTCCTTTATCAACTGAACTGCTCGTTCCTTGATCTCCTCTGGAGGTGAAGTAGCATCAACCACTAACTCATGATCAGGTCCTGTTAATGTGAGTTCACTAACACTGTCTTCGTTTGGATCACCAACCTGTAGCAGAGTACGAAAAAACAACAAACAAAATAATTGTTGATTCTGATTCTAGAAGACTTACCGTACCTGGCTCGATTTTGGGGGTGAAGAGAAAAAATGGAGTAAGAAAAAAGGAAATAACGCCATTTTGTGGGGCGGAATAATTGAATACGTAGGTTTTTTCGACGGAATAATGAGTTCTTTTTTACTGGAATAATGGAATAACGTAAATTTTCCAGCTGGAACAGTAAACACCGGATTATTCCTCTTCATCCCCCGATTCGACTATTATTCAGGCATTTAAAGTTGTTTTTGATGACAGAAAATTCTCTATAAGCTCAAACATTGAGCTACGATTACCACGATTTGGCAATTATTACATATTTTCTATACGGACATCGAAGTAAAGGGCAGGGAAGCCGTGGTGAGTTTCTCACTAAAACCTAACTTATGAAAGCAATAATCAATTCATAATAATTACTGTTAGGACGTTCGAATTCTCGCAGTACCGAAGAATTCACGAAAAAATATCACATTTCAAAGACAAAAGACAAACCTGGTTCACAAGAGAAACTTCTTCCTTTTCTCCATCAGCACCAACCTGTTTTCTTTTCTTGTTATCATCGTTTTGAACTATTGCTTCACCTCTTTCCTCCCCCTGAACCGAGTCACGGCTAACTGGAATATCAAACATCTTTTCCACCATCACCTGTGCCACATCTTTCGAACATCCTAGGAACCCCTGTTTTCTGTCGTCAATAGGTTGCCAATTCTTGACTTCATCAACGTCCAACTGAAATTTTGAAGGATCCACTTCAATTCCATCAGTACTTTTTTCTTTTCTATTAAATGGTAGACCAATAAGAGACTTCTTCAAACTCGTTTTTCCTGCCCGATCTTGCCCAATAAGCAATACTCGACCACGGTAAACATTGACAGCTCCATCTTTAAGAGCACTTTGATAAGCGAGCTGTGCTTTTTCTCCGCGTGCGTCTATTTCTAAAGGGACTAGTGAAAAAAATGAACGCATCTTTAAGGTAAGTAATGTCTTAGAGGTAAAGCAAATCATTCGCTTCTAGTTCACTTGACTGACCTAGGACCTCATTTGGAGGGGGTGGGGGAGGGGGGTAATTCTCATTAGAGACTTGGTCATACACCAGTGTAAATTGTCCTTCTTGTGATCCTTCAGTATGGCCTTTTAAGTTATTAAAACAATTCTATGGTAAACATAATTTTACTGAATTGCAAATGTGACAGGTTATTTTTGATACTAAACAAATCAGCTGCTATCTTAAACTTGGTTTTTTAGTGAACCTACTTCAAGTGTCCATGTATGTGATGTGTAAAAATTAGTGTTATGTTTTGCGTCATCAGAATTATAGGTGCTGTTTGCATTCAAGTAAAATGCCCGTCCCTCAGAAAAAAAACAATTATTCTGAAAATCAACGAACTAAATTCATTCCAATAAGCGCTCCCACCTAAAATGCGTTTCTGTTAATAAGCACTCCCATTCTAATAAGCACCCCTATTGAATAACCACCCTCATTCCAGGGGTAACGATGCCAATAAGTGTCGCTATTCAATAACTGACTATGGTTCCATCCTATCGTGACAAAGTTGACCCTAATTCCAACCGAAGTGAATGGCAGCGAACTCTCTCGATTGTTAAAATCCTAAATAGCAACCAAGACACAGAAAAGATTGGGACTATATCAGCCTTAATTGCCAAATGTAAATAGGTAATCACTTAATATGGGTACAATATTAAAATGAAGCAGGTAATAAAACTAGTTACATTCAAATGGAACAAACAAAGGTATACTTAGTTTATAAAACAGAAAGACTGTCAGAGGTAAAGGAAATGAGCAGTCTAAAGTTTGGTCGAGGTGTCGAGGGTCGAGGGTCTTATGTGAAGGGTCGAGGGTATTTAGTCGAGGGTCGACATTTTTTCAAGTCATTTTTATTTTTCATACACATTAGCAATCTACAAATAAAAATAAAAAAAACCGCGCTTTGGACAGACAAGAGACCTTTATCTTTATCTACAGCCCCGACTAGCTCGTCATGCAACGCATGTTCCGATCAGGTTGCTTGTAAAATATTTATTAAGCGGCCTAGCACGATTTTTTTTTTTTGAAAAAGTTTACTTTGGGTATTACCAAGCACTGTAAATTAAAAGGACAAAATCACGAATCACGGACTTTCAGTTCCGCCTCTTTAACATAATGTGACCAGCAATTATGATCTCAACGTTCGGATCGTCAGCAAGGATCTGACATATCTTCAAGGGGATCAACACGGTCAAAAACAGGATCAGGGGGGAGATAACTATTCGCACATGATATTCTGATTTTGGTGTTGTTATTTTGCACCATACAGATTCAAATTCCAAGCTATCAGTGATATGCAACAATTTAACGGCAACAAATCATAGCACCACCACCACCGGTTTGCGAGCCATGTCGATCTTTCGTGACTATAACATAGCCATCTGGGCAAATCCAATGTGTCAGGATTATCTTACTTAACCATGACTCCGAAACAAACACATACCGTATTTCCTCGAATAATAGCTGTCCCTTTATTAATCGCCTCCCTCAAATTATCGCCCTGTTAAACGGGAATATTTAAAATAATCGCCTTCCTCGAATTATCCCCCACCGCTCTCGCCATCTTTTCTTTCTTTCGTTGAAGTGGAGCCTAATCCAGCAAAAATGATTAGTGACAATTCAAGCTCGAACGCCGAGGATATTGACGTTCAAAAGTAATCGAGGAACCAACATTTGGAACACTTAAAAAGCCCATGTTCAATTTATTTCATGTTATCAATTTTTGGTTCAATGGAATAATAAAACAAAATATTTAGGGCATGACTTCCACTGAGCAATATTTGAAATATTTGCCTTCCTCGAATACTCGCCTACTTTTGGTGCGAAAAAAGTAATAATCGCCCCCAGCTATTAATGGGGCTGAAGTACGGTATCAATGTTATTGTTACCAAACTCAGCGTAAAGAGCCGGAGCTAAAACTGGTTTTGCCAAGGATCAGGCATTCAAAACCACACACTTTGGCATTATCTTTCGGGCTGTAGGCCCTTTGTTGGTTGGCATCAGTATTTGTGATGCTGCTCTAAATATCAAACATGGGGGTTCTGGGACTAAGACAGCCTTCACCTTCGCACAAGTTTTACATAGACTGAGTACTATTCCGTCTGGGTCATGAAGTTGTTTTACTCACGAAGTATCCAGTGTTTTTACGATTAGCTTTTGCACTCAATTCCAGTAAAAGTACAAGCACGCTTGTTTAAATTCAAGGCCCAACATCTTGTAGACCCACTTGCAAGATAGCTCGGCTTGCAACAGCCATAAGTAGCAGCATTTACTAGTTTTCCCACCCTCCCCTATCTGGGTAGTTTTTGGTTGTACTCATTTCCGAGTCCGACTTTTGGTCGAGGTGTCGAGGGTCGAGGGTATCGTGTTGGGGGTCGAGGGTGCTATGTCGAGGGTCCATTTTTTATTTTTTTTCTATATTTTTAAATTTTTCTTTCGCGTTTTTTTAGAGGGTGAGGAGAGCCAGACACGCAAGAGCTTAGTTTTTATTAGCGTTGACTCAGAATGTTGACAGATGCATTGTAATAACGGTACTTCCAAAAGAAAAGAGTCCAACCTTTCGTGGAGGTATTTAGAGAAAATACACTCTGAAAATAATAAACGCGTTTCGGATAGTCTGGTTTAGCCACAGCCCCGACAGGCTCGTCACGCAACGCTTTTTTCCGAAAGATTTTACCTTGAACGATTTTTGTTTTCTCTTTTTTTTTTTTTAATTGGGGTGGTGAGGGGGGGGGGGGGGTAGGGGGGGGGGGGTGGATGGAATTTCACTCCCTCACCCAACTTCTAATTGTCCACCCCTAATCACGATATTACTAGTGTTTATTGTGCTTTAGTAGGACTTGTTATTAGCTAGAACAATAAGCATACTCTAAACACCAAAAATAAATCCCTTGAAAATCCCGAAACGTTTCAGCGCAGTTTAAAATACATAAAGAAGATAAAATTAATACTATCTCTCTACCCCAACAACCAAATGCGCGAACAGCGGACGTGACGTCCAAGATCGCAGAGATACTATGGGCCAATCATTTCCAGGTTGCTCTTATTTTAACAAAATTTGCATTGTTTTTCGTGAAAAACTGCATCACTGCAACACCCTGTCTTACGAAATGCGCTGCCTCGTGGTCTCCTAGCATCATCATAAACTGTTTGGCTTTTTCTTCGTCGTGATTCGTGAAAAAAAAGAAAGAATATTTTTCGTGCTTTCTGCGTAACGCAAGCGTCACGACACGTCCTGAAAAAGCTCAACCACGGTTGACGTAAATTTACCTCTTATTTTCGCATTATTTGTGTGCGTGTAATGCAAGGTTTTTTCATAAGATTTCCTTGCTTTTTTTTTTTGGAATCGAAAGTCTGTGATTCGTGGTTGGGGGAGGAAGTGGAAATGCCCCGAAAAAATTCATACAGGTTGGTATAATATATTTTGCGCAACTTTCGTCACCGAAAATAAAAACTCTTGCGAAAAAAAAACAGACAAATTCTACCTGCATTTTTCAGGAAACCTGATTAAAATCCTTGAAACATGCGTTGCGTGACCAGCTAGTCCCCCAGTCTAGTCGGGGCTTTGGATATAATAAAGCGCGTTAAGTCATTCGTCTATCAGGAAGCGCGTTTATTTTTAGTGTATTTTTGTTAAAACTTGACCAAACTTGACTTTTCTAAAAAACTGAACTCGGGTATGTTTGACGCTCCTCGCTCACTTTGCGCTTTAGTATCTGTTTTTCTTAAAATTAATTTTACTTTTTTATGTTTCAATGCTTATTCCCATAATTACGAATTTATAATAGCTGTTTTTCACAGCTGATTTGATATTTTAAAACAGAGGAATTAATTAAAATGAATTATTATTCATTCCAAATATTTCCCCGATTCTGGTTGGCTAAAAGCACACGCATAATTCACCATAACCAGTTACTGATGACCAAATTTGGAACTTTTGTGTTTAACGAGGAAATGACGTCAAAAATGCAGCGTTTTTGCAGGTTAATGCACCGTTAACCGAGAAGACTTGGGGACGAGGTTGAGTTGTTTTGGTTGTGGAAACAAAAATGGCGGACATTTCTCTCGTTTCAAGAGTAAGAACTAGGCGAGAAAATAGCTAAAAACATGGTAAGAACAGCAAGAAGACAACTCGAAGGGCGACATCTGCTATTTGGAGAATAATTTATTTGCGGAGCTGAACAACCCTAAACGTGCACTATCGAAGATGAACTTCACATCAATGGATCGATGGAGGTAAGCATGTTTAAGCTATGTTTTTAAACTAGGAATTATTTTGAATGAATAATAAAACAGGATTATGGAGATCTAGGAGGGTGTTATCCGCCTCGGCCTATACGGCCTCGACGGTTAACCCCCTCCTCGATCACCATAATTCTTCATAAGATACCCAGCCTCATTCATTAATTCTTAATTAATGCGTACAAGAAACTTACCATTAATATTAAAGCTACAGTTGTAGCATATCCTGATTTCTCAAACACTCAAATTCGCGAAACCCACGATAACTGAAAACAAAACTGACTTCCCTTCCACAGGCAAATACCAGAATTCATCTCGGTTTTTTTGAACTTCCAAATAACTAACATATCCGCTATGCTCACCTGCAACACCGCCAACTAAAAAGACTCCCTTCTTCTTCAACTTCAGGGTACATCTTATTCCGTCAACAGTTAAAGGATTATGAATCACACTCAAAAACCTCAGCTCCCTGAGGTCACCAATCTCAGCAGGTAGTTCAGTTAGTTTATTTCCCGTCAACTCCAGCTCTTCAAGCTTGGTCAGCCTGTGTATACTGGCAGGTAAATCAATCAAATGGTTGTCTCTCACACTCAGCGTCCTCAGCTCCCTAAGGTCACCAATCTCAGCAGGTAGTTCAGTTAGTTTATTTTCAAACAAGTACAGCCTTTCAAGCTTGGTC